GCGGTAGCCGAGTGGTAAAAGCGTCAGACTCTCGGTTAATAAATCCCGCGGTCGTGGGTTCGATCCCCACCGTCGCCTCTGGACTTTTTTCTGACGGCTAACGGGACCGGTGGCCGCAATTGAAAGAAATTGACACGGCACTCATCAATGGAAGGGGCGGGATCGGATCTCAGCGACACTGAATTTGGTCCCAACCCCCTTCAAAAATGAGTTTCTTCGATGGAAGAACACCGGCAGAACGGGGGCTCAAGTTTACATTTGTGTTGCGAGCCCCCCCCCCAAAAAAAAAAACATGTATGGAGCAAGGGATAAAGTACAATTAATCTGTACAGCTCAGCTGCAGTGCTCATGAGAGAACTCCTCCAGTCCCTGGTATCCAAAACAACAACCCACACCAGGCCGCATCTCACGATCTCTAACTAATCGTAAAATTATATTTGATATTTAATTACATCTACGAACCGGAAGGGCGGAAAACAAATCGAAACAACAAAATTTTTAGCTCATGAAGCGGTAATTAAACGGAGACCCCTCGATTCGGGCATTTTACAAACGGGGGACCCCTTGGCGCCCTCTTCAATTTAATTCATAGCCCCTTTGCCCTCAATGGGTTGTACGCCAGGGGGAGAAAATTAAGTCGACTGGAAATGACAAAAGCTCTTTCATTGAAGCTAGTTGACTTCTTGTTATCGGCTCCTTATTTTTTCTCAGTTTTAATTTTTTCCTAAAAATGCTACTATTAAGTCTCATTCTATTGTAATGAAGGTATGTGGTATCTTTTATTCGGACACTGCCGAATGGGACACTGATAAAAAAAACAATATTCAGCAGATCCTTGCTGCGCAGTGGAAATAATACAAATAAAAACGAAATCCGAATTACAACAAAAATGTATATTCCTTTATAAAAAATAAACAAACAAACTCAAAATCTTCTAAACAAAATATAAAAAAATCTCAATCAAAATAATCATACAAAAAAGAATTAAAATATTTTCTTTTGCCAACCTGTTAACGATAGTTCATATGAAGTAGACTCTACGACTGCCTTCAAGCTACTGCACGTTATAGCGAAAGCAGCGCTAGTTTTTCAAACTATTTGTTTGGCAAATGAACTATTTACATTTTTATATAATATAAATCGAAATAACAAATTAATAAAATTTTCTTGACTGAACAATTTAAACAAATAAAAATAAGATTTTTTTTTAAAAATAAATTATTGTTTGTTTGAAAATTAATAAGGTTTACTTCATTGTTAATAATAATAATTTAACTTGAAAATTACAACATAACAAAAAGATAAAAAGTCAATTAACTAAAATTGTCGTGATTTTCATGACAGTATTGTTATGTTAATACAAATATTTAGTAAAACTGAGCAAACCTAAACAGTAGAATTTTTAATCGGGCCATGCTCGTGTCCTATAATCGATTGTTTGAAAACCTTACGATGTTGATGTTTTAGTTTGGATGGTAATTTTGACACAAAAGGCAGTAAAAAAAGGGTAAAAGATGGCGAATTGCAAGTTCATCAATGCAGGAAACACTAAAACACTTTATTTACGACTTTAAGAAAAAATTTGAAACACTCCCCAAACCCCTAGCCTCATGGAAACTAATTTAACAAATGCGTTTTTTATTCCTGAAAACAGTTATTTCATCTTAATGGTTTTACTTATAGCGATTATCAGAATTCATTTTGAAAACGAGCTATCTCTGAAAATTATTAAGTAACTATTCAGAAAACGTGAGATGCGGTCTGGTGTGATGTAGGTTTCAGAAAAACATTTTCTTTATCGTGCCAACGTTTCGATCTTTTTTGAGATCATCTTCAGGGCCTGGGATTTACAAACATTGTTTACATATAACAAATTCATTTAGGATGTGAAAAAGTGAATTTATACAATGCAAAATATATTTTTTATATTCAATCAATGTATTTCTACTCACTCAAAGTGTTTGTCTTCTGTGTAATTGTGCCATTCTTGCGTGTCGTGTCGCGAGTTCCAGTGAGATTTTGCTGTTTTATGTTTATATACGTTGGATTTTGAAGGGGTGGTGAAAGAAGTCGGTATAAAAAAGACATTTTTGTGTAAGGCGTAGGCTTCTTTGATGTGAACTTAGCCAACGAAGGGGAAAAATGTGTTGGTAATGGTTCGGCCAGATTATCCTTTCAGGATTATATAGAAAGGGATAAATGGGAAAAGGAAAGCTGAATTGTTGGGAAATTAGACTATGTGAAAAATATTTGATGTGTGGAATGTAACGTGATGATATAGGTATGTTATCTGTATTGAATTTCAATTTTACAAACAACTATTTGGTATAGCCATGGGTAGCAACCCAGGCCCGATACTGGCAGACATAATCATGACACATCTACTAAATACAGTCATACCACATCTTCCTTTCACATTACCGTTCATCACTAAATACGTAGATGATGTATTGACAGCTGTTCCCACAGATCAAATTCAAACTATATTAGATACATTTAATACCTTTCACCCACGCATACAATTTACACATGAAATCGAAAACAACAACAAAAAATACCATTTTTAGATACACTCGTAATAAAACTTCCAGATGGCACATTAATCTCAAGATTGGTATCAAAAACCAAGAAACACAGATCGCTACCTTAACTTTACATCTCACCGTCCTCTTCATGCAATAATAAACACGGCCAAAGGGTTACTTCACAGAATGATTACCATAAGTCATGAATCATTTCACCACAAGAACATAAAGATATACAAACAGATCCTCCAAAACAACCTCCACCCTAAACACATTATTAACAGAATAATCAACAACTACAACTCAACACTAACACCATCCACTATTACTAATAATTCTACATTAAGTCAATCAAATACAAAAAAAAACAGCTTACATTTCCATGCCATTTATTCAAGGCCTATCACATAAATTAAACACATTTCTCTCGTCCGATAACTTCAAAATAGCTTTCAAAAATTATAAAATAATCCAAACACTTTTTTCCCAAATTAAAAATCCCATACCAATAACAAATACATCTGACGTAATCTACAAGATCAACTGTTTAAACTGTCCGGTAACTTACATCGGTCTTACATCCCAATATCTGGACAAGAGAGTAAACCAACATATCTATGATTGCAAAAAACCCAATCAAAATCCTACACCACTCGCTACCCACCATTCTGAACACAAACACAATTTCGACTTCAATAATCCAAAAATATTACACATACAACAAAACAAACATAAACGTGATTTCTTAGAAATGGTTTATAACAACAGAGATAAATACAGCATCAATTACAGAACAGATACATGTAAACTCAGTCGCAGCTACGCCAATATAACTACTATTTAGTGCCAACGTTTTCATCTTTATTGAGATCATTTTCAGGGCCTGAGATTTAGAAACCTTGTTTAAATTTAACAAATTCATGTAGGATGTGGAAAAAAGTGAATTTATACAAAGCAAAATATATTTTTTATATTCAATCAAAGTATTTGTACTCATTCAAAGTGTTTGTTTTCTGTGTAATTGTGCCATTCTTGCGTGTCGTGTTGAGAGTTCCAGTGAGATATTGTTGTTTCATGTTTATATACGTAATCACCACACATTATTAAGTAAAGGCAATAATAAAACAGCCGCTAGGTGTTTTTATTGCGTGCAGGTTTTCCCGCTTCTTTGTTTGTCAGTTGAACAAATATTTTATTACCGTCAACTTTGGTAAATGAGTTTTTTATAAACAGTCTGGTTACTCCAAGACACTTGATTAACTTTCAAACAATTAATTGAAGAATTTCCAATGTACATATTAAAACGAAATTCATTCTTTAGAAAAATCATTTATAATTTAATATAATCAAAATTAATTATCTAACAAATCAATTTTTTGTTGATGAAGACGATCGTTACTCCTTTCAGGCGATTACCAGACATCATTTGGAAAACGAGCCATCTTTTATAGTGAAAATAATGATAAATTTACATATTGTGTTTTAATTGTTTACAAAATCTACTACTTGTGTGCCAGTAAAATAAATATTTTATTGTTATCAGTTTTGGTTCGCGTTTTGTATCCAATAGCCATTATAGAAAACTTGATTCGCCGCATTAAAATATGATTTGGAACAGATATAAGCGTGCAATCTAACGGGATTAATTTTGTTGTGTCAAAAAAAAGTTTATAGGTCAATATACCCGAAAATATATTTAAAAAATGCATTTTTATTCGGTAAAACGCTAAAGCGTTGACTATCAGCGTTCATTTTGGAATTGAATCATCTCTTGCAGTTTTTGTGTAAAAATAATAATTAAATAGCCGCTTTGCGTTTTAAATAGTTATTCAGATATCGTGAGATGCGGTCGGGTGTGATGTAGGTTTCAGAAAAACATTTTCTTTATCGTGCCAACGTTTCGATCTTTTATTGAGATCATCTTCAGGGCCTGGGATTTACAAACAATGTTTACATTTAACAAATACATTTAGGATTTGGAAAAGTGAATTTATACAATGCAAAATATATTTTATATTCAAACAAAGTATTTCTGTGTATAAATTCACTTTTCCAAATCCTAAATGTATTTGGTAAATGTAAACATTGTTTGTAAATCCCAGGCACTGAAGATGATCTCAATAAAAGATCGAAACGTTGGCACGATAAAGAAAATGTTTTTCTGAAACCTACATCACACCCGACCGCATCTCACGATATCTGAATAACTATCGAATAACGGTCACTAATCTCTACACGTTTTAAATAGCGTGTTAAATCTTGAATTTTTGTTTTCCAGTGCAACAAATATTACATTACCGTCTGCTTTGGGTCAAGTTTTATATCTATTATTTTTCTACACCAATGCACTTATTTCTCAACTTAAAAAAATATTTGAGCCTATTTTAAAGGTTGAAATGTTTGCATTCCTTAAACAAATTTGTAGTTCAATATAATAAAAACATTGCAATCATCTTTTTAGTCAGGAAAACGATAAAGCGTCGAGAATCAGCGTTTATTTTGAAAACGAATCATCTCTTGCAGTTTTTTTATGAAAAAGTAATGGCAAACTAACAACATTGTGTTTAATTGCGAACAACATTTCCTGCCTTTTTGTTTGCCAGTCCAACAAATATTTTATTACCGTCAGGCGAGTTTGTATCCATAATTTCGTTCCACCAATACATTCGACTCTCAACCGTCAACAAATTTATTCCAGCCAGGTTTAAAGCTTGAGTCATTGTCACCTGTGGAAAAACGTATGTAACCAAAAAACAAATTAATTTTTCTTTCACGCTTTAAGGCGACTACCAGCGTTCATTTTGAAACATGAATGTTGTTAGGTAAAAATATTGATAAAACAGCCGCCCCGAAACTTAAATTTTACCTATTACTTACAGCATCTTGTTTGCCAATGCAACATATTTTTAACGTCAGCTGTGGGCTACTACAGAACATTATATTCAAAACATAAAAAAAACCTATTTGGAACAGTTTGAAACCTGAAAAATTTTATTTTTTTTATTCTGTGAAGAAAAGGTTGTAAAAAAAATTAATATTCTAAACTTTTATATATTTATAAAACTCGTAAAGCTTAAAACTCGTCGCTATTTTCCTTTGAATTGTCACATTTATTTAGCTTGAAAATATAAAACACAAATTGATTTTTTTTAACCTCTCTCATCAGTACTGTAAACCCCATTACGTTGCTGTCAACAACAAGAAATTACCAATGATTGAAAAAAGGAGATAAAGGACTTTTCGTATGTCCAATACAATCGGTCAATTTTACAATGTGTGAGCGATAAGGCTGACAGATTTACAACGGACCGACAATGACACATCGGTTCGACAAAGAATTTAGCAATAAATATAATTAATAGTTTAAATTCACTAATTTCGTGGTCCGCTTGACCAATTAATATATTACAATTAATTAAGGTTTTTAGTTGAGATAAAAAGGTCAATGGCACGAGCGGGATTCGAACCCACGATCTTCGGCTTGATACGCCACTGCTCTACCACTTGAGCTATCGTGACCTCGATCCACTCGGACACCAACTTCCCATCTCAACCGCACCTTTTGAATTTTCCCTCCTTTTTGCCATTTTTCAAATGTCGTGTAATCGGATTGGATTCTCGACAAATGAAATGGCTACGGAGAGCTTTAATGAAGTATACTTCATTTTAAATCATCAAATTCACTAATTTCGTGGTCCGCTTGACAAAGTAATATATTAAAATTAATTAAGGTTTTTAGTTGAGATAAAAAAGTCAATGGCACGAGCGGGATTCGAACTCACGATCTTCGGCTTGATACGCTGCTGCTCTACCACTTGAACTATCGTAACCTCGATCCACTCGGGCACTAACTTCCCATCTCAACCCCACCTTTTGAATTTTCCCTCCTTTTTGCCATTTTTCAAAATTCACCGAATTAGGGAAATAAATCGGTTTAATGCAACGTGAAAATAAATATTTTTTCCTCTCATACTCTAAACAGTTGTAACAGTTGAGCTATCGTGACCTTAATTAATAGTTATTGAAAAAATGCAACGTTTCAGGAACTATTTAATTTTATATCAAGAATTACCAGATGGTTTGAAACATGCTGCCATATGAGAGAAATTATCGATGGGATCAAAATGAAGTTTGCGCAAATTCTTCTCGAACCACTTAAACCAAAAGATGGGACATACATGGCCTTTTTTATTGTGATCAATTCCACCAAACCCTCTTTTCCAGGGAAAGCTATGCCGAACAGAAAGCCGCTACAGACGACCGGTGAACCTTTCAACACAGTCGGATTCATGGTTCTATCGCCTTGAAATTCTAACTTCTTACAAATCCTCTTTGGCAGCACAGGAATGCATTTCACATCGTGAAGCTTAAACAAGTCATGCAAGGATGATTGTAAATTGTTAAATTTCATTTGTCCAACCGTGTAGCAATCCTGTTCATTATAAGATTCGGCCACGGGAATGTATTTCGTCTCCGATTTCCTGTATAAAATGCTTTCCGGATTTAGCAATACTGCGCCGAGACCCCGTTCGTAGCTTTTTGACACACAGCGAAGGGACTTTATATCGCTTGAGATTATGATGCCGTGGTGGTAAAGGATTACAATCGTCCGTGGGATCCATGCCTGCGATGAGTAATGCCCGATGCAACTGCAAGCCGTCGCAAGCGTGGTCAAATTGACAAAAATACCTAAGCAAGATGAATCCTCATTGTCGACCTCCTGTATCAAAACTATTGTGGTGAAGAGTTCACGGACGAAGCCGAAAATTGATGTGACCAACAATAAAATTGTCAAGTAAAATAATGACAATCTGATGTTAAATGAATTCATAATTTTAAAAACAATAAAAATTCGATTAAAATTAATCCTGCCATCTGTTTATTTTGCTTGCCTACACACACCGATGATTCCCTAAAACAACAGAAGTTATTCATTTCTTCTCTAAGGAAATGAAATAAACAAGCGTTTAAAATGAATTTCTCTTTAGTTAGGTAGCGAGAATGTAAACCATAATAGAAATACTAAACAAAACCGTGAGGGAAATTGAGGGACCACGTAGGACGTCCTACTTGTATTTTACGCTAACGTTCGAATCCCGGCAGCTCATTAAATTTTAATTGAGAATAATACGAATCAAATATTGTACTTTGTTTGAGCCTTTCGTTATTCGAATTTCATGGTGATAGAACAACCATGAATCCGCCTGTGTTAAAAGGTTCACCGGTCGACTGTCGTCGGCATTCTGTTCGGCATACCTTTCCCTGGAAAAGAACGTTTGGTGGAATTTATCAGAATACAAATGGCCATGTATGTCCAATATTTTGATCTCAGTAGTTCCAGAAGAATTTACGCAAAATTGATTTTGATGTTATTTCATTCATTTGGCATTTATTTTAAGCCTTCTGGTAATTTTTGTACTTCAGATAAAAAATCACCTGGACGTGATTTGATAAATGCTGAAGTTCTTCAAGAACATCCCAAAAAAAACCGTATCTTTATGATTTCTTTATTTAACCCGTATATGCCCACTATTTTTTTTTTAAATTGCGAAATTATGTTTTAGGTAGCTTTTCTTTTTCACCCCTTTTAACAATAAAAAATGTTAAAAAAAATATAGCTAGGCATTTAGTATGCAAATTAGGGTGTTGAAAAAACGCAACACCGGACACTTGTGGACACATACGTATGAAATTTGGTATTAGAAATATATGTAAATTAAAATCAACATGAATCATAATAACCTTATAATTAAATGTATATTTTTACAACAGTCATTTTGTAACTACAATTTTTTTTCATTTCCTATTTTTGGTGAAATTCAAGAAAACATTTTTCGTGCAATGCGATTCCGCATTTTACACATTGTTTTACCTAGTGGGTTTTTACGAAAATTTTCCCACTATTTATCTAGTTTGATTAATTAAAAATAACAACGAACTAGGACTAGGTGCGTTGATAGGCAAATTTTTGAAATAGGACGTAAAAGTGCCCCGCCACTTCCCCTGATTAATGAATGTATGTAGCATAATGTATAAGTATATTTTTAATAAATGTTTATTCATTCATTCACACATTGTTTTATGGTTGTGGATTTACATACTCCACTCGTTTTTCTTTCGTACCTAGGAAATGCCCAATTTTGTCGAATCGGGTACCCGACGAAATCCTGCTCATAACGGTTGATGTCGAATACCCTGTTCGTTTAGGTGCATTTCCGAATCTTTCAAGCAGTTCATTCGCAACACATCTCTTGAACTGTAAAAAATCTAATGTCTTTTCTTAAAGTCCGCAATTCTTAAAATGAAATACAGTTCAAATTGAAATATTGGTTTCACAGTTTCAGTAAATATTCACTCTGTTTATCTGTCTATCTATCTATTTCATTTCTCACTTAAACTCATTCTTGCTCTTTCTCTACACATTTATTTTATCTTCTCTGAACGTGAGAGTTGTCAGCAGGATTTGACTAGTGTATCCGCCGGTTTTAATATAAAACATGCTTACCAAATTCTACGTGAAAATTTGGATAACTGGCACAAAACAAAGAGAGTGAAACCAGAGAGGAGAGGAGACGGAGAAAGAGAGATAGATAGATAGATAGATAGATAGATAGATAGATAGATAGATAGATAGATAGATAAAACCCAAGTCAATAAATTATTAACCATACAAAGAGTTGCTCTAAAATGGCTATGTAAAGGGTATCGAACTACGTCAACAGACGCACTTCAAGTTATAACAGGGCAGATACCAATTGACTTAGAACTCCTTAAAACAATAGAGATTCACAAATTAAGAAAAACAACATGCAATAATTATAGTGAAAAAATTAAAGAATTAGAAAACGCAATTATAACAAAATGGCAAGCAAGATGAAGTGCAAGCATAAAAGGGCGAACTACTTATAAATTCTTGCAATGCATTAAATCAAGAATCAAAAACGGGAATTTTATTCAACCAAATTATATTACTACCCAGTTTTTAACAGGGCATGGAGAATTTAATAAATATTTATATAATTACAAGTTAAAAAACACCAATTTATGCCAATGTGGGGAAATAAAAAGTGCTGAACATATTGTGACGAAATGCGAAATTTATAACCATAAAAGAAGAATACTAGAAATGGAAATAAATACAAAAATAGATGATGAAAGTAAATTGGTAGAACTGACAAAGAACAAACACAATTATAAAAAGTTTATAAAGTATGTCTAGAAAAAAAAAACTAAACACAGTTCACAAAATCAAAATGAAAATCATCGATAATAAAAAATTCCCGCAAGGGCTTGTAATTTTATGTATGTAAATAAAGAACTTCAATGTACAAATTTATTTACTCTTAGTGAACTTTTTATTTAAACTGATTGTGTAAATTATGAATGCATATAGTTAAATTATTTATTTAAAATGGTAGTTAAAAAATAAATGTATATGGTTTAATCATGTATTTAAACTGGTAGTATTACGTAGTTAAGTTTGTTATTCATATGTTTTTATGATCACTATGTTAATTCCCTAGTCAATATAGTCATTTTATTAATAACTGTACATGTATATAATCGAATTATTTAAATGAAAGTCTTGTTTTTTATGTTATATATATGTACATAGTTAAATTATATATTTCAGAAGTTATATTTAAAGTTATAAATGTATATAGTCCGTTAAGGTTATTTAAGCTAGCATGTTTTAATTAAGCAATTAAGTTATTTATTTTGTTTTCATTATTCGCATGTTTATATGAGTATGCAATTGAATTACTTATATGAAATATCTAGTCTAAGTAATAATGTATATATTTAAATAATTTATATAAAATGTTTGTTTATATTTATAAAGGTATATAGTCTAACGGGTTTATTTAAGCTAGTAAGATCTATTTTACAATCTTTTTATTTAATTGTTTCATTGTGCTCACGTTTTTATTACTAGTCAAAATAGTCGATTTATATT